ACATATAATATAGTATTTAAAAGGGAAAAAGCTCAAGTGGGTTACGTATAAATTATTCTGTGGATAACCTGTTGGTTATATTTAAATTAGTGTAGGTTTTTTTTATATTTATACTGTGATTGTATTAAATTTTGTATTATATTTTATTTATTTTGCACGCTCAAATGCAACTGCATTTCTGTGCTTATAGCATATTTATTGTAACACTGCTTTAATATTTGTAAATTTTGTAAACATTCTTTAAACAATAAATATTATTATTATTATTATTATTATACACAGTATAAAATTTCTGGTAAAAAACAACACCAAAAGTGGTCTATATAGGTCCACACTAGAAATGGTATATCTAACCACATACAATTTGGTAAATTTTACCCTTTGATTGGTTAATAATCTACACGTACTATTCGTACAAAAAACTCGTAACACTGTAAAAATAATCAAATATAATATGCACTTAGGGGTAAATGCAACACGCAATATTGGTAAAAGAACTCCATTCAAGAGTAGAAAATGCTCAATTTGGTGTAATTTACTACACAGGTAGGTGTTACGTGTAGGTGTTAAAAATGGTGGGTGTTTTAATATTAAACAAAGCATGTAATGTAAAATAAAGTATATTTTATATTACTTACAAACTAGTTATGAATACAAATAGGCTTTGGCATAAAATTAAAAAAAAAAATGATTAAGACTACTTAGGTGTTAGTATTCTTTTACCCAAGTAGTGTTAATAGTTTTTTTAATTGAATGAAAAGTTGTTATATTTGTTCCAGTTTGTGCAAACCCATATTTAGCTTATATAGGTGATATAAGATATATATGAAATATGATTTTTCACTAGCTCAAAAAACTTAAAATATTACTAAATTTTATATTTCACTTAAAAATAACAGGTAAAAAAACATGTATTAAATGAATTTAAATTAACACGAATGAATTTTACCACAATTTAAAATAAACACTTAATATGTAACATATTATATGTTATGTTGACCAATTTTAGTGTATAAATTAACACCAAATGATTTTACCACTCCATTTGGTAAGTTAACACCAAAATATTTTACACTGTGTACATGGGAAACATATATGTTTCATCTTTCTTCTCAAATGTTTATCGCTAATGTATATTTGATGATTTAACCCCAAACACATCACAATTTCCCTCTGGTTGAAACCTAAATTATAATAGAATCGCACATAATCATCCATTTTTATAACAACCCAGATAACAACCTTGAGGGGCATCAAAACGCACATCGCCATCACGTATTCATTTTATGATTAATGGGAATACACGCACGTGATTGGTATATGAGGGCACAAAATGATTGCAAACTTTTTACTTTTGCTAAATATTTATCGCAAAATTGTAGATGTTATATTAGATCTACACTACTCTTGCGAAAATTGTTGATTTTACTTCATATTATTATAACTAAAATTTTCACAAAATTGACTTACTATATATGGTTGTGAAAAGACTAAATTTGTAGACTACATTTGTATATAAAATATATTAGTATATATATTATAATTTTATTTGGAATTCTAAATTGGAATTGATCTTAAAATCAACCAGATAACACGTTGATCTTAAGATCACGTTTATAAATTAATTTATCATTAATTTATCTATGAATTTGTAAAAAGATATCTAATTTTAATTAAAACAAGTTATCTTTCTATAAATGTGGACAATTGTCACAAAAACTAAAATAAATGACTTAAAGAAAAAGATCTTTTGGATTATTACTTATTGACCAAAATTTCGCAATAAATTAATTTTATGAATGATTAACAGCTGAGTTTTTTTACAACGTTTTGATTAGTAATTATCTCTAATGATCTAATAACTGAAGACAATTGAAGACTTTTTTTAAAAAATCGCACATGTCACAAAATGCTTTTTTAAGTTTTTTGTTTATCCTGAAAAATGTAGATTTTGGACATGTATCGTTTTTGAAAAAATGTCTTCAATTAAAGATAATTACTAATCGAAACGTTAGAAAAACAATCAAATTAAGGCAATTCAAGTGCAAAATTCACCTGCCCAGAAAAATTTCTTCAACCATCACATGTGCTGCCTATATGAACTTCAATTGATGACGCAAATGATGCATATATGTGACATACGTGCGGATTGTTGTGACTGCAATATGCGTAAATTATTAACCTCAATTGATGACGCAAATGATGCATATATTCGTACATACGTGCGAAATACAATCAGGTTGTGACTGCAATATGCGTCAATTATGAACCTCATAATGTTATCTGCGAAGATAAGCACAAGAAAACACGCAAACGGTTTACTCGTATCTACGCTCTAAACAACATTAGAAAACACCGAAGGGGGCAGCAAAAGTGCTAGTCACCAAATCGATTTATTTTTTTTTTTTAGATTTATTGACATTTAGTCTTTTTAAGACTATTTAGCCAGCTCATGATATTTATTTTTGGTTTAATAAACAACTACAACACCCAAGGCTGTGACCGGGAATCGAACCCGGTACCGTTAGACGCAGATTGCTTACAGCTCTGTAGCTCAACCCACTGCACCATCCTCGGCCCCTTGATTTACTTAAATTTATTCATTCCTTCATTTATTTATTTACTTAAATTTTTTGTCACCACCAGGACATTAACTCATAGTGGTGGTAATGCTTATTTATTCCGTTTAAAAACAAGTGAGATAAACAACCATCCTAAAAACCTATTTGTTGACAAACTTTATTCCCCTCCGTCATGAATTTTTACTTGTTTTTGGCCATGGCAACCAAACCCTTTCCCTTACAACTATAAAGATTTAGGATTGATTTGACATCAAATAAAATTTTTAGATGCAAATTTGTGATGTATTGTTTTGTAACAGTGCATTTTTTCGAAATTTTATGCATATCTTAAAATCTAGACCTAAACACTGTTTTTCTGAATCAGCACGAAATTTTACCTTCGAAAAAGTGGTTCTAGACCAGAACTTCTGGTTAGCGAGAAACCAGTGTTATTTAATTGTAATAGGTATTTATTTAAAATAATTTAAATTTAAGCAAATTTTATGTTCCTACTTTATTTTTGTGATACTGCTTCACGCTGTATTTTATTATTTATTACTACAGTGTCAACAAAAGGCCCAACAAAAACAAAAAAGTGCCTCGCCTAAAAATAATTTTATAAATTCTAGTTTTAAAGTAAACATAAACAATTGTTGGGAAGTGTAGAAACTTTTTTAAAAGGTGTTTAATATATCATTGTGTTTAGTGAAATTTAATAACAGTTTTTTTTAAATTATAAAAGCAAGAAATTTAGGTAGATTAAATAAATACAAAATCGTGACAAGTGAATTTAGTACCTACACTACAATAATTATTATTGTTTGTTTTTATTTAAGAGCTATATATAGATGAAAGCAACTTAAGAAAATACGTAAGTAGTATACGAGTAACTTAATTGTATATATTTACGGACAAAATCCGAATTAAGAAGGGTGAGAAAGAAATGGAATAGGTAATTGCTCGAATTGGTGACTATATATTCATATATGCATATTAATAAACATTAATAGTATATTATGTATCAAGTTTGATAAATGCCATTTTAGTCACGAATTTAATTTAGACACGAGCGAGTGCTCAATTAAATGAGTTGCATAACATACTTTTTTTAAGACAAATACTTTTTATTAACTAAAAAGATTGAAATTAAATATTTATATAGAGCGCCATTTATACAAAAATAGAGTACCTGTAAGAATGGGAATCTGTATTACAGGCGCGCCGTTGAAAATGTCATTTGATGTGTAAATCGAAATGTATCCCTTAAAAATGGACTAACAACAGTTTTTCACAGTGAAAGTAAAGACAATGTTTTATGGTTTCATATAAACTTTTCAAATCTGTAGATTTTTACCAGCAATTTTTTAGTAGAGCCTTAAACGTATTCGCATTAATTCAGGAAACAAATTTATGGTTAGCGGGTATACCCTTTTGTTAGCACATGTCATATGCTAACAAAAGTGTATACCCGCTAAACATAAATATATTTCCTGAATTAATGCGATGAGTAAAAACGTAATAAAGCCACAACTTGTCAATGTGTATTTAAAAGGTCAATTAGTGTCATGGAAACATGTACGATAGTAAGCGTTTTAAAAGTGGAAGTACAAAATAAACAAATCTACAAACAGTTCAATTTCTTTAATTTTAGATAGTTAATATGCTATTTAACAAAAACAGAAAAACATTTTATATTAAATAAATAAAGACAATATTTTAATATAAATTGAGTGTTTATCAATGCCCTTTCACTTTTAAAAACTTTTAAGACACGAGAGAGTGTTATAAATAATTTTTCGTGCGTTACTAATGCGTCATCATTCCTCTTGGCTGACTAAACTTAATTTCTTGCGTTATTTTTCTAATTCGTTCTTTAAGAAAGACATCGCTATTTTTTAAATTAAAAAAACTGCCCGATATGAAAACACCGACTGTATGACCAATGAGCTGTAAACTAGGCCTGCTTACTGGTTTTACTGCTAAGAAATGTGTGTTAGCCATTATAAAACATATTTTTATTGGTTTATTCTCGAAAGTTTACAGACGGTGCGAATTTAAATAAGGCATGTTTTATTTAAACCCTCTCTATGAAAATGTGACTACGAATATCTTAAAAATAAATCTCAACAAAATAACTGTTAAATAATATAAATAAAATAAAGTAATACATAAATATTTGCTGGCGATTCCGGCATTATATTTAATAAATAATGTTTATCTGCGAATAAATAAAACAAAGAAAAATATGTTGTTCGGTGTGGACAATAACTCTTGAAACTTTCTATTTTCCAACAAAGATGGAATAAATGATAATTTTAACGTTCGTTTTAATAATGGGAGGGAGAATTGTACCAGATTTAGGCTTATTGTGGCGGAACTTATAATGCAAGCGCCTTGGCAGTGAAAATTCAGTCAGGGTTAGGATTTTCAAGTGCTAAAATGTTTTTTCTATCTGCCATCCTCCTAATACACTCTGTATTTATTGTTGTTGTTTCAAGTGCCGATAAAGTGTACGATCTGGATGTGCCGGGCTCCGATCCCATAAGAATTTTCGAGGGCGAGTCTTTGTGGCCCGTGTCTGAGCCAGAGCATTATGAACGTCATTACGAACCTTCGAATTTCGAACACAGGGCGTTTCACACTCATACTCAGTCAAACGACGAAAATAATGAATTTGCACCCGTCGCTTTGCAACAATTTTTAAGCAACTATGCGAAGGATAAAGGAAAAAAACCCATTCAAAACGAAAATGATGCACATTTTGAAAGTGTGGATTTAATTACCAAAGCACCCGATGAAATCTTTAAAGAAGAAAAATCAAAATCGAATTGGAATTCAAAACAATATAACAACCCCAAAAATAATAATAATTATAAAAATCCACTGGACGATAAAAAAGGATGGGTGTCGTTGGAACCAGTTCCTTGGTCCATTTCCAAAATATCAAAATGGCATCCGAATACAGCGGCAGCTAAACCCACCCCAAGTCAGAGGCCTTGGAATGATTACTCGTCATCTTTACCTTACGAACGGCCATGGGAGAGCGCTTTAAATCGACCCAACGGCCAAGGATACAACATCAAGCCTCAGATGGAAAACCACGAATATTACGACGATAACATTCAGAGACCCCCTAATAACCAATATAGTCAACAATTTGAAAACTACCGACCCAACCAAGCTTATAATAATAATAAACCTACTGCTATTTTTAATCAAAAAGTGCAAGTAAGACCCAGTTATAGCGAAAGTAGTTACAAAACGCCGTTAAAAATCAGCGGCTATTATAAAGACGAAGAAGAGACGAAGACGAATTGCAAGGACGAGAAACACTTTGAGAGCGGCATCATCACCGACGGTCAACTGCCCGATTTCCCTACGGAATATCGCGATGCTATGCGTCGAAGAGGCAGCGAAATTCACCCGGATACGCACCCGACGAACGGCGACGGCGAATGGGTGCTGCTAAGCACTACGAAAGGTTACAAACGTCCGAAAAACAGGCAAAGATCGCTGGACATCAAACCGCAGGCTCTCGGCGTGCAAAAGTCCGTTCACTTGACGGTTTTGCCGCCTTTAAAAAACTCCAAAGTTAACATGACCACTTCACATGGTGGTATGCTGCAGGTCGAGTCTACCTTCGAAACTGTAGAACAGTCGCAGAAAAAGTTTGCGAAAAAACAGAAATTGAAGAAGAGGCGAAACAGGAGGCCACAAAAGACGGGCCAGAAACAGTCATTAAAGTTACAACAGCAGCCGCAGAAAATATCGTTGCCGACAGTGGCCAGAAGAAATACCGGTCCAGATTCGTCTGCAGTGTTGGCAGCAGTGGGGGCGGGAATGATTCCTGCGACCATGGCGATGCTGGTGCCGATGGCTATGAGCGGCAGGAAAAAACGGGATCTCAATTTTGTTACAACTGACCCTTATTCCACCATTGAAATAACTTTGCCAAGATATATTTAGTATGTTTAATGTTTTATGTTATTTTTGTGATTAGTTATTTATTATTTATTATTTTAGTAGGTACCTACCAACCTACAATTTTAAAAACTTGTATGTGTAATCAATGAAAGAGGTTGTTTAAAAATTAAAGTTCCTTTTATTTATCAACTTTTATATAATACAGTCTTATAGTACAAACATTTTATTGTTATATCTTAAATAAAATTTCTTGAAATATTGTGTATTTCTTCACGTGTCCAAACTCCTACCCTTTTTGAAAATACGTACTTTCAAAAATACCCCTTAAAAAATAATGACATTTTTTCCGTTATTTTCAAAAGTACATAATTAAAATTTAAAAAAAATAAATTAATAAATCTACTGCATAATACTTGGTAAGCAAACTTACTTTTTATTTATTGTAAGCGTGAGTTTTTAGTGGTAAATATTTTTGTTTCTTTGTTCGGTATAGTTTCTATAATGTTCGTCCAATCTGCTCTGCACCTTTGTAACATAAGTGTTTACTGTCTGTGTTGCATTTTTAATGAGTTGAAGACCCAGGTGCAATTTCATATGAAAAACGTCTTTGAGAAGGTCAAAAAACGAAACAACTTTGTCGGGAGTTTTTTCTGTAGTAAACGATTCAGTTGTTGTTGTTGTGGTTGTTTCTTCTTGTTTGGTAGTCAATTTATTTTTAATTATTTGACCATTTTTATCGAGATCGTTAATTTCGTTATCAATTTCATTTTCGATATCTTTACTACGCTTCCTTCGTATCCTGAGGCTTCTTGGCCCGTGTTCGGGAACAGAGACGGGCGTAGCCTCGCTGTTTAATTCTTTTGGTATATTTCCCACCACAAATTTGGATTCCTCCTCGTATTTTTCTTTACTGTCTTCATTTAAATTGTACGTAACCGGTTGATAAGTATCGCTCTGGTAGTTTTGAGGAATAACGTAGGAATTTTCGTATACGGGCGGTTTTTTGGTTGTCAACTGTACTTGGTCGATTTTTTCCTGTATGGATTGCTGAGCCTGTTGGGCTTGCTGCGATCTTCTGTCCACCTGTCTGTATCTAACGTTAACATTGGAATAAGCGTTTCTAGACGATGGAGTTTTGTAAGCGTTGCTTCCGTAAATCGAGTTGGACGGCATGCCGGCTATAACTTTGCCAATGGCTTCCTCTTCGGCGATGCCTCCCGCGTAATCGTTGTAATAGTACGCACCCTCTTTATCTCTTCTGTCGATTTCGTAGGACCTTCTGGCCACGCCGAACGGGTACAGGAAATAGCTGGCAAGACCGGCAGTCACAAGAAGTCCAACCATGCCGACCCCCACGGTTGGCATCACTTCTCGCGATAGATAGTTGTACAGTTGCGTACCAATCGGTTTTTCCTTTCCTGCTATTTTTTGTTTTGCAATTTTTGTGCTGTTGGAACTTTTGTCGGCCGCAGGTTTTCGACGCCTCGTCTTGTTTTTCTTTCTTTTTACGCTCTTTTTCTTTTTGTCTGACAGGTCGGTTTCACCCTCCTTGGCTTCGGCTGGCAGTTCATTCGACTCTAAGAGTTTTATTGGAGAATCTGTGCTATTTTTTATTACGCTTACTACTGTGGAGGTGGATGTTTGATTGGGTTTCGCTGTGGTACTCGTATTTAAGTTTGTCGCTGTTGTTTTCTTTGAGGGGGCAGCAGTGGTGGTGTTTTTCTTATTTAATGCGTTTTTCAACATTGTGGCCTTAACTTTAGTCAGCTTACTAGCAGCAGTAGTTGTTATAGTAACCTTGGGCTTTGAAGTGGTCGTCGAAGATTTCCCGGCTTCAATAGAAACTTTAATCGATTCAGTTGCATTTTTGACAGTTACAGGCTTTCTTGTGGTAGTTCTTTTTTTAAAAAGTGGCTTTATTATTCTTGGCGGTGCCTCTGCGGTAACCACTGCCGTCATATTTTTGATATCGGCAGCGACTTGTTCGATAGGTTTTACAAGTGCCGGCGGTTTTTTCGGGGCCTTTGTGGTGCTGCTCTGTCCGCTTAGCAAAATCCAAGTGGATAGACCACCGTTCGTTGTCGGTCTTTCGATTTTGTAGAAATTCAATTTTTTCGTGGTCTCCTCGATTTTATCGCCTGCCTCCAATTCGTCCGGCTCTATCGGAATGGCGACGCCTGCGTGCGAGTTCTCCATCGGTTCCTTTTTAATTTTTTGTTGTTGTTTCACTTTCGGAGGGGTTCTAGTGTCAAATGTCATTACGCCTGCAGATGTTGCGTTTACTTCCATCAGCTGATTCGTCAGCTGCTTGATTGTGTCACCAATTGCAGCCGATCTAAAACAAAATTTAACGAATTGAGTTTTATTAGAAAACGCTTTTGTTTTTGCGATTAATCAAACTCATAATAGTATTTTATGGAAAAAAAAGACACATTTTATTATACAATATTTATTTAATTATTATCTTCATAATAATTCATTATTACCTAATACATAGACATACATAAACCAACAAAATAATTTAAGAAATAACCTACAATTAAGATTTAAATTTACCCATTTGCCAGATCACAGAGTTTAAAAACCTCATTTAAATGTATGTACAGTATTGTTCTTGACTAGAATTTATTCAGATACCCACTTTTTGCCAAATAACGAACCAATAAGAAGGTTATTGTCATGTGCACATGTACAGAATAATTTAGTTACCTTTAAATAACAACAGGAAATTGTCTTCCTGTTGTTAAAAAATATAAAAGGAATTGCCCTTTTAAAGATAGTTAATAGTTGAAAGGCCTTAGCCATTTTACTTATGTTTAACTTGTTTTAATAATCTAGCTAGTTAGTTTTTACCTCCATTCGATATCTTTGACCATTTGTCTGTGTTTCTCTGCGAAATTTCGTATCGCCACAGGAATATTGGACAAGTGGGGGGGATTAATCTCTCCAGCCCCTTCGTCGTAACCGACGCGCCTATGGTGCAAATAATCCGCGACATTTTGCCATGTTTTTGTTTGGTGATTCCAAAACCAACCATCGGGATGGTGAACAGGTTTATGCGCGTGCTTGTAAAAGGTCACGTTACTGGTTTTTTTTCTACTATTATTTGATTTGATTCCCAAAAACAGCAACAAAAATGGTATCCACCAAGGAAACAGAGCCATTTTAAATAGGAAACCAAGAGTAAAGAATAAAGCAATAGGAATTATGTAAAGATAAGGGTTCATGAAAAATTTAATTTTTTTCGCTAAACCTTCTCCAAGCCATTTTAAAATATCTCCGAGACCTTTTAAATCGGGCAGATTAAATCCGCTGAGCGGGTTTTGGCCGCCTCCGTTGCCGCCGCTGCCCCCTGAGCCACCGGTACCGCCGGCGGCGCCAGGAACGGAGTTTGTTGCAGCACCCGCAGGATCCGCCAAAGGAGCTTCGTCCTCGACCGCAGCTGCACCGACATCATCAGCTTCGACAGCTTCGGCTTCATTGTCGTAAGTTTCTACGTCCAGAGGGGACAGCGGCGTCCGATCTGTCACGCTGTTTTGGTGTATGTGCGAATTTATTACTAAATTCAAGTCGGAGCATTCCTGCCGCAATTGTGGTGGAGCAGCATTAAGCACCGAGCTGGCAATGTGCACCGTTGGGCATCCGATGCCTTCACCTGCCGTCCCCTGTTTCGTGCCGTCCGGCAACATACTCAGCGTGAATGTGTTCAAAGGGTTCTGCAATGGCTGTGAGCCGCCACCGTCGCCTCCAAGTGGCGGTGCGTCTATAAACACCGAGTCGTCCAACACCCCGTCGTTGGAGAGATCTGCCAACGAAAATGATGGAGAATGTGAACTGATTTCTGGCATCGGATTTGGAATCGGCACGTCTGCCCAATTTTGTTTAAAGTTGTTCAATGTAGGTCTCTTTATTACTTTTCGATTAGGAGAAGGCCTCCTGCTTTTCGGCTTTAGAGTCGTCGATCTGACAATTTGAGGTTTTCTTATTCTATTAACGTTCCCTTTATTGTTAGGGACTTTAGGAGGGCTTGTTCGCCTTGCAGGCTGTGCTGTAGTCCATACTTTTGTAAGTTTTATTCTAAAGGGAGGTTTCGTTTCAGTTATTTTATTAATTAAAGGCCTCCTCGTTGTAATTGCCAAGTTGGGCTTGATAGTTACGACCTTCCTAACATTAGTGGTATTGTCGTTTATGAATAAATTAACCGGAGAATCTAATTGTAAATTTCCCAACGGTATATTCGTTATTACCAAACCCGATTTTGTTTGAATATTTTGCGGTTTTAATTTTATTATTGTGTTCTTATCTACAAATTTGTTAGTAGTTGTGGATGTGTTTAAACTTAAACTAATATTATTTACATTTGGTATATTTACATTATCTTTAATACTTAAATCCGAGTTAAAAACATTATTTAATAGTTCGATATTTAATTTATTATTATTGGGAATAACTTTTGAATTATTTTTTAAAGGAATTATATCTTCAATGAAAATAGGAGTGCTTGCATTAACTATCTTTAATTTGTTATTTGTATTATTAAGAATTAATTCGCTCGTATTTTTTAGAACCTTATGAACCGTAACTATTTCAATTGACTTATTCGACAAGTTCAATTCTGGAGCGTTTTTTCTAATAAATTCTTTCAGTAAAATTTCATCTGGTGGAGTGTGCGCACTTTTTGGACTTTTTGGTTTAAAAGTTGACAACAATTTCGACTTTTTATAAGGCAAAAATGTATTTGAATAATTTTCTTGGTTAAAATCTGGCAAAATGGAAAATTTAACAACATTCAAACTTATTTTTCCTTCGTTGGTGTACCTTGATGTCGTAACCTCCGATGGAAGGGACTGGCATAGCGACAGCGACACTATTAACAGACCCACGGGCCCTAGGCACTTCATTTTTTACACTAAAAGAAGAACAAAATTATTAAATACAGTTTTTTATTAATTTTTAAGATGAAATTGTAACATACTGTTTCAACACCATCTTGGGGTAATTAGTCATATATAATAATATGAAACAAAATAAAGGAATTCTGAATATGACGTGATGATTGTTTTTGGCCTAGTTTCATTAAAACACATGACTGAATGGTTAGGGAAAGTCAATGACCGTTGTATAGCGGTAACGTTTTTTATCTCTTTCTTCATCTTCATATTTTGATTTTGAATATACTTGGGCAATTCATGAATATCGATTGGATTTAATTTGCATATTGACAAGTGTTTAATTTAATAATTTATTTATATTTATTAATAGATTTAATTAATTAATTTGTCTTGCCCGGAAACACATTTTAAATTTATTAATATTCAAGAATTTTATTCAATAATATTTTTTTACTGTTACAATGCACCTATGTCATAATAATAATTAATTTAACAACTATGTATAAATTAAAATATGTTTACGCTTAACAACTGTTGGGTTGAACACATTTATTTATTTCTCCAGTAATACCGTTACTCCAATAAAATTTATCTAACCCTAATGTTCTAAACTAAACAGTTTACCTACTGGATAAATAAAATAATTTAATAATATGGTTTTACATTCATGTGAGCATTGATTTAATTGATTTACCATTATACATTGAATATTTTTATTAATAATCTCTGAAGAAAACGTGCTTCTGCAATGTCAGATTATAAAAATAGTTTAAATTACCTGTATTTCGTATTTCGATAATGGTTTTAATACACGGTGCACTTGAACTTGACTAGTGGTACTGAAGAACGACGATAACTAAAGTAGAGGAGGAAGAAGCGTTCGTGAGGAATCCAGAGGCGGTGCTCTTCGAATAGCGGTATCCATATTTGATGGCACCTGAAACACAACATTTAACGTCAGACAGTGGCGTAACTATAGGGTGGAAATACTGGCAAAATGCCAGGGCCTCCAGCCCAACGGGATCCCGAGGGGTCAGATTTTTTTATTTTATGTTTTAATAAAGCATGGAGGGTTTGATTATTACATTTTTTAAGCACAATTATTATTTTAATGAATTTGCATAAAACAAAGGTGATCAACAGACCTCCTATAATGGATTTGCTGGTACAGGTTATAGTATCCCGGTTTGTACCGGATTTATTTGTTTCGTGCCGATTCGTACTGGAATGACGTTTTTAATTGTATTTCTTTTACCTGAAACAAAGTTTTAAAAATAAAATACTGTATTTGCCTGAAGGGTAGATATGGAAAATGCTCGAGCATTTTTAAATTAAGGACAAACGAGAAAAAACAAGCATAAACGGGAATTTTCCGAAAATTTATTAACAACATAGCAGAATTAGGCCATTAAATGTTTTTTTTAATTTTTCCTATTTATTCTAAATATTCGTGTAATTTTTTTTCAATATTCTCGAGAAGATTCTTAATTTTCTCAGTTCTTGAGGAGATATCCAGTTTTATCAATATTTTTACAGGTGTTTTTTCATTAAAAAATTGTGTTAAACTGTATAATTAAATCAATAAAAATCATAATAATATATAAAATAATAAAGTAAAAAAATCAGTCTTTTGAAACCACACAGAATAGGTAAGTACAACTGGTTTAAGGGGGTTTGGGAATGTTTTTCAAAATATTGGCATAATTTTTAAATGTTTGTCATCGAAATATGGATAAATAAAATGTTCACTGCCAAAAGTTTAAGTTTATTTGCACACGGTTTTTGAGCAATAAATTTGGTAATATTTATTTTTATAAAAGCTACAGTACTTCAAAAATGTTAGATATAGATATTATATTATTATATTATTTAGGGCGAATTTGACATTTTAAACAATTTAAATAATATTATATTAGGTAGGTACACAGTTAAACACGATTTTCCTCCCATGAAAAATTTTAACAGATTTTAAAAATAAAGGTTAAAAAAACGTACCCGTGTCTCACCGTTTCACGAAATCACCTCATTTAAAGTTTTATTACAGCCATTATTATTATTTTAACCTATACAGATTTTTAATTCTATATTTTGTTTTAAATCATTTTTTCCTTTAAATATGTTTTTACATAATACAAAAATAATTCATAAAGAAAATAAAAATTTTAATTTTTGATTTTTTTTTAATAAAACGACAGATTTATATTTATTTATCTTATATTCAATATAATAATATGTTGGAAACAAATGTTGGTCTTTTAGTTTGACGATTATACATTGTTATACTCTCTAAAATTAAATTAGTCAAAAATGACTAATTTAATAGTTATTAGTGGCTCCTTTTTCACTTGTACCATGGTTAACCATGGAATACCATGGTATCCCAAACATTAACAGCCAATTCTTATGTAAAATTGTCCCCTGAATCCGAAAATACGAAAAAATTATGAAAGTGAATCAGTGAGATATAGTCAATTCCATATTACCTAAATGGAAAATTGACTATTTCTCAAAAACTGTTGTACTTTTTTTTAAATTTAGACATTTTCGGATTCAGGGGACAATTTTACAAAAGAGTTGGGTGTTAAATTTTGGGATACCATGCATGGTATCCCATGGTTAACAAAAAGCAGCCACTAATAACTATTAAATTAGTCATTTTTATCTAATTCATTTTTAAAGAGTAGAATCTATAGTGATATCACAACCCAAAAAACAACAATTGATATACAGGGTGTTTTACATTCTTGGTACATTGGAAGTTTCTGCATGGGGAACGAAAAAGAATTTTTGAAATCTTAAAACATTGTTTAGAAGATTCAATGTCAATTCTTTAATATTTTTCAAAAAATTACTTGAGAAACCCCAGGGCAAATTAGGCCAACTTAAAACGTTAACAACTTTTTATTTTAAATGTAACACAATTTACGCAAACCTAATAGCAAAAAAGTTTTAGGTTATATTTTATTGACGCGCATTTGTCAAATTTTAATGAAAAAAATTATAACTCAAAAACTATTCACTTTAGGTGGAATTTAAAAATGTAAAAATATATGGGGTGTTTTACTTAATATAACAAAGTTGATGTACTTCCGGTCAAACCGGAAGTGACCTTGTGTTTAAATATTTTAGAAAAATAAGCTTAATTGGATTATAAACGCTTTAAAAATTTTAAATCGATCTATATTACCGTTCCCCAGAAACTTTCAATGGACCACGAACCCTGTATTTTATAAATGTGCAACACCCTGTATACAGTTATACCTAACAAATCGTTGTCAAATGGTAAGAATCTTGGAGGATGGCGTGGTATATGAGATATCTTAAAAAAAAGAATTGGAATTGGCCTTTGTTATTTGTAATTTATGTAAACGATTTGTCAAATTCCGCTTTGTGTAAATTATGGGTTGGTAAGCTTTGCGGATGATACAAACATATTTGTTAGTGGCAAAACGTACCCTGATATTGTGGCAGGGATTAAGGATTTAGAAGGTAAAGTAAGAGACTGGTTTAAAAGTAATAAGTTGGTTGTAAGTCAAGAAAAAAACAACTGTATTTTGTTTAAAAAGCCACAAGATCATTTAGAAAGGCCTCTTTCTGTAAATTTAATTAATAAAATAATACACTTTACACCAAAAACGAAGTTTTTGGCATTATACGAGTATATAGATGAATTTATAAATTGGTCCTATCAGGTTGAACATCTTTGTAAAAAATTAAGTCAAGTTTATACGTAAACTAAATTCATGTGTATATGTTGAAAAAACTACCTTAAAATCAGTTTATTTCGCCTGTTTTCAATCTTTGTTGCGATATGAAATAATTTTTGTGTTGTGCAATACTTGAAAGGGTTTTTGTCATACAGAAAAGAACAGTGCGAGTTTTGTGTAATCTTAAATACAAAGACATATGTAGAGGCGTATTTAAAACCTACGGTTTATTGACATTCACTGGAATCCATATCCATGAACTCCTAATTTTTATGTTTAAGAATAAAAATAATTTTAAGTACCTGAAGTCTAAAAGTAACAGATTATATTTATCCTAGTCATCGTTTAAGTAGCTATGAAAAGTCTTGTTTTTATTTGTGTATTAACCCTGCTGAAAATGACGGATGATTGCGGATATAAATTCTTCGTCAAAACCGGATAAAAGCAGATAATTGCGGGTATAAATTCATCGTCGAAGCCGGATAAAAGCAGATAAAAGCGGGTAAAAATATCATCTGATAACATCTGCTTTTGTCCGCATCGCTATATCCGCGAACACCCGGTTAGTTGTGTTTTATGTCCGGTTAGTGGACCCCCGCAATCATCTGCAATCATCTGTTTTTAACCGTCTTCACTGTTTTTCGTTTATATCTTAATTTGTCCGGAATCATCTGCAAACGTCTGCTTACGTCTGGTTTTATCCGCGATTATCTGCATTTTTTTGTCTATTTTTGTCTGGTTTTATCTGCAAACGTCTGGTTTTATCCGCAAACGTCTGCCTAGTCCAATTTCACCCGCCAACATATGCTTTTATCCGCCAACATCTGCTTTTAACCGCGACCATCTGCTTTCATCCGCGAACATCTGCAATCACCCGCGAACAACTGCTTTTATCCGCAAACATCTGCAATCACCCGCGAACATCTGCTTTTACCCGCGAACGTCTGCTCTCATACGGTTTCACCCGCAAACATGCTTTTATCTGGGAACCCCTGATATCATCCGGTTAGTGCACCCCCGCATTCACCCGCAAACATCTGCTTTTATCGGCGAACATCTGCAATCATCCGCGAACATCTGCTTTCATCCGCGAACATCTGATTTTATCCGCCAACATCTGCTTTTATCCGCGAACATCTGATTTCATCCGCGAACATCTGCAGTCACCCGCGAACCACTGCTTTTATCCGCGAACATCTGCAATCACCCGCGAACATCTGCTTTCATCCGCAAACGTCTGGTTTTATCCGCAAACATGCTTTTATCGGCGAACGCCTGATTTCATCCGGTTAGTGCACCCCC